GGCCTAGCGAGGCTGCGGGAGTAAGCACGCTCAGAGAACGTGACAAATACTCAGCACTGAGATTGGGGTGCAAGCTTGCCATTCTCTCTTCGTTTTGAAACAAGAGGTACGGGGAGCAATTTTATTTTGATGTGGAAGGCAAGAGAGGATCGTTGGAAGGGCGGATCACAGACACCTCGATGGAGACCTGCTTTTCGCGACCGTAAACGGGATGATGGTTCCAGTCATTCACAGTGAAGCATGTTCTTCGCGCGATTTAGTGGATCAGGTGTCGGTGGAGGCCAAGGCAGAGCGATAGTAAAGAGTGTTTCTCCGAGGTTCGACGATTCAATGGGACCCCACGTGATTTCCTTTTACCTCGAGCAGCCCTCACCCTAAAGCTGAGGTTGGTAGGAGTGGATTGTATCTGTACCGTGAGGCGAGCAGCTTCCATTAATGGTTAAATCCGATGTATGACCGCTTTCCAGTGTACGAAAAGTCCCTATTGTACTTTCTTTCGGAGATAGCGATACAGGTGTAACTCTGCTCGGAGCATCTAATCCGTTCTTCTCCTCGTGTTCAACATGAAGATGAGCCATAAGACAATCATCAACCCAAATAACCCAATGACCAAGGGTTGGAGCACTTGAACACCTTGTCTCTGCAAGGGAAAGAATGGTAAGGGCTTATGCTTGATTCGTCTGTCTAGCTTGACTTACAGTTGCCAGAAGACCAGTCAAGAACGGGAATAGGGCTGACCCAACCTTCAAGATGCAGTAAATGATCAGTCGAGCTCGTCTGATAAGGTCACCGCCCTAAGCATACCTGGCCAGTGGAAGCCACAAATCCGATCGAACCTGCCAGAATCCTAATGGTAAAAGGTGGTTTGTTAATTGATCTCTGACGTTCGTTGCACAGGACTCACCATTTGGGCAGCACTTCAGCAGCAACATTCATTACGATCGGATACAAGGGTCCAAGAGCCAGACCTACGATTGCGACAGCGACAGCGTTCGTGATTAAATTGGGCACAAGCCAGACAATAATTTCAAGCCTAGATATATATAAATGAGTGAGTTTTTCTGTCTGGAGGGACTACGCAAACAAGCTCACCCAGTCGCCGCGACAATGTAGACATAAATCGCCCGACGCTTTCCGAGCTGCAAAAAAGGATATCAGTTACTAGGACTTCTTACAACGGGGAGAGATATGAAATCGACTCATACCAGATCATTGACGGGCCAGAGAATGAAGCGACCGAGAGTGAGACCTTCATGATAAGTGAGCATTGAGCAGATGAGGCCCTTCTCCCAACTGCAAACATACCTCCGAAGAAACCACTACTGACGTAACCTGCACTTGGACCACCACCTCGAAGTTGTTCCAAGAATGTGACAATCCATCCACCAATGGTAACCTACGTAGAAGTAAATGGTGAGTAAATTCTGGAGCGTTTCCCAAGCGAGCATCATGTTGCGAACCTCAGCGCCGACGTACACCATGGTAAAGGCGGCCAAAAGGTGAACTTGCTTTTGTCGAAGGATCGCTCCGTATTTGGATCCTTGAACAAGCGGAGCTTCTTCCGCGTTTTCATGAGGTGGCACGAGGTCTAGACCAAAGAAGTTAGGGAGTCTGGCCTTCAGTTGAGGAACGTAGCTTCGCAAAAGCTCACCTTCCAGCCGCTTCAGTTTGAACACATAAACCGAGGACGCCAAGTTGAGGAGTGCGAGCCCGAGTGATGCCAAGTAGAAGTATGACCAGTGTCCAGTTTGGCCAACTTGAGTCGCGACAAGGGGAGCGCAGCTCGCACCGATTCCATAAAATCCGTGGAGGAGACCCATGGCAGAGGATGCATTACCCGGTAGAGATGATACGAAGACGTTGCATTGGGCGTTCTAAGCGTGAATATGAACTCAGTCGATGCCTAGAGCTAGGAGCAGGTCATTTACCTGAAGCTAATGACCAAAATTAAAGGTGAGCAAGTCAAAGTGGAGGAAGGACTAGCTAACTTACTGCCATAGTAAATCCGACTAGGGCATAGCTGGCGCACATAACGGGGAAAGGGAGCGCTGGAGGGATGGTCGCGTAGGCAAGGACCTGCAAGGCGGCGCCTGAGGTGGAGTGAGTAGGCAACCTGGCACTCTAACGTCGTTTGACTTACAGACACTAATAATCTAAAGGATGGAGGATAGCGTTTCAACATACGGCGGTGAGAAGAAGTGATGATGGAGACTTGCCTTTCCAAGACCGTAGCGGTCGGTCAGCGGTACGTTTACGATTGCACCGAGCGCGAATCCCTGAGGATATTACAGTGGTAAGTCTGACGACCCATCGTGAACCAACCACCAAACGACCCACAATCGCTGCTGTTACGAAAAGCGTTGATACGACCGTAAAGTTGATGTTGTAATGCCGCTGAATGACTGGGATCAATGGGCCTGCTGTAGCATCACTCCAACCCTCAAGGAACATAATCCCGTATAGAGTAATGCGGTACAAGAGAAGTGACTTTTTGGAAGATGAGCTGCTGCCACTGATCGAGGGCGCAGGAAGCTCAGTTGTCGGGGTCCGATCTTGCAAAGTTGGCAGGCGGCTAAGTTCGATACCATCCGACGTTTCATGCAACGCTCGGTGGGCGGTGCTCGCCCTGCTTTCACGGCCGAGCGAGGCTGTGGGAGTAAGCACGCTCAGAGAACGTGACAAGTACTCAGCACTGAGATTAGGGTGCAAGCTTGCCATTCTCTCTTGGTTTAAAGAAGAAGGGTAAGGGTAATTTATTTCGATGGTCGGGGGTCGTCGAAAGGCAGATCAGAGACACCTCAGTGGAGACCTGCTTTTCGCGAGGGTAAACAGAATGATTGTTCCTGCCGTTCACAATGAGCATGATCTGCGCTTTTATAGGTCAGGTGTCGGTGGAGTGTCCATGCAGAGTGATAAGCAAAAAGAGTTTGTCCGAGATTCCGACGACGAAGCGGGACACCAGCGGAACACCACGCGCAACGTAAATCGAACAAAAATCCACGTTCCCAGGGACACCCAAAGTCTTCGACCACACTGTAGCGGCCTTAAGACGAACCCCAACGACCGACCGATCCGATGCCAGCTATAGCACCTGTTACTCCGCCCATCCTACGAGCCGCTCTTCGTTCAAAAGGCGCAAACGGCCATGCAGCATTCGTCCCGCAAGTCCGAAAGCTTGTCTTCGAATATTGCGACGTCCGACATTCATCTGGTCCGTTGCGCAATTACCTGCTCGACAACGCGGAGAAGCTGGCGGCAAAGAATCCACATGTCGAAATTGTCGTGAAGCAGAGGCCACAGCGACAGCCCATAGTACGCGGTTTCTACAGTGAGTCTTGCTCGATCGAGGAACGCGGTCTGGATTGGAATTGACGCGCTGGTTTAGTGAACGATCGTACAAAAGTCATTGGGTTGAATAAGTACGACGAAGCAACCTTGAAGGAGAAGGTCCAGCTTCTTTTAGACTCATCTGGTGCGAAGATCAAGTCGCTGAAGCGGAGGACGGTTGAGAGCCGAACGGAGAGCCCGAGAGGAATATGGAGCGGGCTCCATGTTCACGAGCCATTCAAGATATGAACGTCGATTATGGCTTTCTCTACTTTACTCCTTCTACTTTGCTGCTCCTCTCCGTTAATCTTATTGTCGTCTTCTGGGTTTGGCTTTCGTGCCCCTCGAATTATCTTTTGGGTGCGAGCGCGGTGCTTAGTCAGCAATATCAGGCCTTTTTAAGCGCGTCAGTAGGAGGTAAATTTTCTCTTCACAGTTCTAATCTCGCTCCAACTCTGCAGACGTCCAACGAGCTTCGCACTTCAGTGCCGATGGATGATGGTTTGGGGCGAAGACTAAGTAGTGTTGTCTTTATAGAACCTATCCCTTTCATAGACCATGGTTTTCATGTTCTCCTCGAAGGGCTGCGGTGTCGGAGACTTCATACATAATGGCACGCTCTATCAATGTACCTCTATTAAATATTATACACAGCTCTTGCTTCTAGACGAAAAATAACATCGATCTCGTCGCTCTTTCCAACCTTCCCTTGAACTCGTAAAAAATTGCCGGCCGGGACGACTCGAACGCCCAGTGTTCTGACAAATAACGACAGGTGTGTTACCAGTTACACCACAGCCGACAAAAGACCAGTATTTGAAAACGTAGTTCCAGTTCCCATTGCTCTAAGAATCGACCTGGGCTTCTCGATTGAGATGTGCAACACCATAGCCGACAAAAGTCTTCAAGGTAACGCAATACATTAGGACTATATGTTGCTTGCTTCTCCACTCCTAAGCCTTAGAAGTTAAAGCGCCAGGTCTAGGCCAGATAATGATGAAGTTGACTCCCTTCAATACGCCTATTTGACATATAAAATTCACATGCCGACCAGAACGACTCGAACGTCCAGTTTTTCAGCGGACGGCCGAATGTGTTACCCGTTACACCATAGCCGACAAAAGTCTTTAAGTAGAGCAATATCCAAGGACTGATTGTCGCTAGCTGCTCCACTCCTAAGCCTTAGAAGTCAGATGGATGACCGATGTGCGATAAGCGCCTAACTGAGAAGGACAGCACTGCCCAACATCGGTGTCGAAATACTGATGACCCCCTACCCCTTTCGATACGCTCATAGTTCATATGCCGGCCGGAGCGACTCGAACGCCCAGTATTTGTTCGGATGAACTACGTGTTACCCGTTACACCACAGCCGACCAAAGTGCTAATTCCACAGAAAGGCATGCAGCTTGACCTGTGCTGAGACGGGATGCTGGGGAAGGTACGTCTATGGCGTGACTGGAATAGGATAAGCGTCGTACGGATTCCGCCTATACCTAACGTTACCACCGAAATGCGTCCAATGACACGGATTGACATAAGCCCACGGAAGGGGTGGAAGACAAGACCGACAAGCCTCATGAGCAATATCTCCATGACTGCAACCAATCCTAGGTCCGTCACGGTGGACGATGCATTCTAGCAAAATCAAGAGATAAAAATCTAGATTATGTGCCGGCCAGAACGACTCGAACGTCCAGTATCCCGCTGAAAGGGCAGGTGTGTTACCCGTTACACCATAGCCGACAAAAGCCTTGAAGATAAAGTAATATCTTAGGAGTGCTTGTCGCTTGCTTCTCGACTCCTAAGCGTCAGAAGTTGGGCGATGACCGAATCGCCTGACGGGCAAGGCACAGCGCTGCCGAACATCCCCGAAATTCGCTGTAAGCCAAATAGTGATGAAGTTAACCGCATGCTCCCTTCAGCTTGACATCTAAAATCGTCATGCCGACCAGAACGACTCGAACATCCAGTTTTTCAGCTGCCGCCGAAATGTGTTACCCGTTACACCATAGCCGACAAAAGCCTTCCAAGTAGAGCAATATTCTAGGACTGATTGTCGCTTGCTACTCCACTCTTAAGCCTTAGAAGTCAGATGGATGACGTGTCCAAATACTGATGACCCCCTGCTCCTTTCGATATGCTCATTGACGTCTAAAATTCACATGCCGGCCGGAGCGACTCGAACGCCCAGTATTTGCTCGATTGAACACTTGTTACCCATTACACCACAGCCGACCAAAATGCCTGATCCACAGAAAAGCTTGACTCGTGCTGAGACGGGATGCTGGGGAATGTGCGTCTATGGCATGACCGGCACAGGGCAAGCGTCGTATGGATTTCGCCTATCCATAACCACCGAAACGCGTCCAATGAAACGGATTGCTATCAGCGCTCCGATGGTCCTTACTGGAACAAAAACGCTTCTCGACTTTGATTCTATGATTCCAATTGTACCGAAGGCAGAAATTATGCATATAGGACAGTATTCGTCGTTTGCAACATGTTACAAAGTGATTCCTGGGTGGATGGCCTCGTGGTACGTTTAATGGCTGATGTACTGGAAGACGAACGAAATTTCTGGTTGACCAGTTTCTGCTCGAAGTAAGTCATCATGGTTGTTCTTCAGTTCATCGTTCGTGAAATGGTTCCAACTGCGAGGTACGAAATGGTCAGGGCTGGTGGAATCACGGACTCCGGACCGCAACGTACGTGCTAGCATCGCCGTAGAGCAACGCGGGCGCCTTGATGAACTGCTTCCCATTTCGACACCTTTTGCATTTGAACGTATCGTGCGTCTCACACAGGGTTTCCTCCTTGAACTGGAATAACTGCCGCAAGGATTCGAGCGAGAAATGACGTTCGGTATCTTCCTTCTCATCCACGACGCAGGAGGACAAGGCTTGCTTCTGAGCTTGACGCTGGAAGATCTTCTCTTCGATGGTACCGGTAGCGATGAACCGGTAGACGAAGCCTGAACGGCATAAAGTTAGACTTCGTCCAGGAACAACGCCGCATCCTTACATTCTTTCTTTTGCCCGTCACGCCAGACTCGGGCGAGAGCCTGCTGGTCAGCAGCAGGGTTCCAGTCTAACCATTTATCAAGGATGTCAGCAGGATTCGGGAAGCACATGGTTTCTCGGGCTTCGTACCGGGATCAAATAGGATGAGCCGGTTGGCGCCAATCAGGTTGATACCGCATCCACCGGCTTTGCTACTCAGTAGGAAGACGAACTCCTTGCCTTCTGGGTTATTAAACTGATCTACGAGCTTTTGCCGTTTCGCAGTTGCCATTGTCCCATCGAGCCGGAAGTAACCGTACCTAGGATGGAGCCCGTGAGCGCCTGTTAGCCCGAAAGGGAAATTGGACATACCCTTTCGCCCGGCAAAGCTTTGCGAAGAGATCCAAAGTTTGAGTGTAATTACTGATCAAGACAATCTTGTCGTTGGTCTCCCTCCGAAGCTGCTCCAAGAATCTAGGAGTTCCTGGTCAATGCGGATGTCTGCAGCGAACGGTGGGGACAATGTTACCTTTCAAGTACCAGGAACTTCCCTGACCAAGTGCAGTTAACACTCCTGCCAGCGGTTCGATCTCTGCCACCAAAGTGAGCCGCAGCTGCGCCTCCATTCAGCAGCTCCTCGGGTAAAAGACCTTCACAGCCTGGCAGATCGTCCGGTAGCTGCAGGAGTTCGGGGTGGTTGCAGAGCTTTTTGAGAATACCGATAGCTTTCAATGGCTGGGAACCAGTACCACGAAGCAACTTCTTGATCTCTGGTGAGGCGATGAAGTGGCGATATAAAGATAACTGGACAGGTGCCAGGTTGCAGAACACGACATGCTCGTACTTGACTGGCACTATGCGACCGGGTAGACGAAAATTCAGCGTTCGACGTCCACAGGGGTAAACGCTCAACATACAGTATTTGCTGAGCAAGTCGTTTGTCCTCCGGATAATGAACTTGGCCACGAGTCCACCGAGCTCTTTCAGCTTCTTCTCGCTCTCTGCTTTGACGTGGTCGGTCGCATCTGCATCTCGGCCACGAATAATTGCGTTTTCAAAGTTTTTGCGGAAATCATTCTTCGACCCGAGGAAATCGGGGTTCGCGAAGTTCAGGAGCGAGAAATATTCTGAAAGGTCATTCTGAATTGGCGTGCCGGAAAGGATGACACGACGTTGAACTTTGATGGTCATCAACGACTGGAACGTCAAGGAGTCTGGTGGACAGGATTTTAGCCGCAAATTGGCTACAAGAATTCGACAACTCACCCGAATTCTTCAAGCGGTGACCTTCGTCGCAGAGCAAGAGGCCAACAGGGCAGTTTGCGAGCTCATTGGTCAGAGTGCGAAGGGTCTCATATGACACAATCATGACTGAGGATATCTTTGGTAAGCACGTCGGACAAGGTGACGATCAAACCCCTTGCGATTACCTGGCTGAGTGACATTCCGCCCTTTAGCTTGCACCCATCGCCTGACTTTTTCGATCAATTCTTGTTTCGTTCCCTTCCCGTCGACCGCCAAGGCAGCAATCGTTCCTGGACCGAGCCACTTCACTAAAAATAAGAGCATTAGGCTCGATTGACTGCCCCAAATGGGATTGCTACCCGTACCAAATTCGTTTGCCCAGTTGCGCACAAGACTGCTTGGGCAAACAATGATGCATTTCTCAATCGTTCCTCTGCCAGACCGAGGTGACTGTTTCAGCAACGTCCACATGAGAGCGATACATTGAAGGGTCTAAAAGGAAGGGAGGAGATTGCGTTCATGGGAGAACGAAGTGCAGCAAGCTAATCACACTTACTTTGCCTAAGCCCATCTCATCTGCCATAATGCAGCTGTCGAGCAACGTCAGATGCAAACCGTCAAATCCACGAGACGAGTACCCACCCATACTGGTTGGGTACGATCATGCCCGTTGTACATTTATAGAGGAACTGGATGCAAACCAAATGATTAATTGAGGTGGATGACGGAGTACGAGAATAGCCAACCTTCACGCCCTCGATCTGATGCGGGCGGAGAATCTTCGATAATCTTGGATCAATGACAACGGGAACTTTCTCTTCTTTCTTCTTTTGCTCGGCGCTCTCTCCAAGTAGATCCTTTAGGCTCTTGTGGGGATTGAACATTCCTACTGTTCCAGCCGCAGCCTCTTTCCTCTCCTTTTCTTTCCTCTCGGCTTCCTCACGTTCCTTCCGTTCCTCGTCGGTCTCCCTTTCGTCTATTGTTGGGTCGTAAAGAACGATAGCATGGTCCGCCATTGGGTCGTGCAGAGGCCTTGGTATCATCTTGATTGGTGGTCGAATGCCGAGAGATGCACGGGACATGACGGTCTGTACAACCTCCCCTTTCGAGTTCGTCATTACCGGGACGGAAAATCGCTTGCTGGTGTTTTCCAGAGCGGTAGCCTTGTAGACTGGGTACTTCTTCACAGCGACCACCTCCCCATCACTATCCCAGTCGTCGCCGTCCACGTTCTTTTTCGTCTTCTTCTTCTTCCTCTTGTCCCCGTCATCAGAGTCATCTCCGCCATCTCCATCGGTGTTTTCTTTGTAATTAACTCGTTTCCGCTTTCGTGGAGGAAGTGCCGTGTCGCGTTTCGGCGCGAGTGGTGTGGGTGTCTTAAACGGCTTAAATATCGTGGCGTCAAAGTTGATGCTATCAACGGAGAGGGGCCTCCCGTCCTTCATCGGTACGCGTCGCAGCATGAGTACTCGTTCGGGTCAAGAAAGTAGCAGTCGCTGGTCTGAGAAGGGAGGATAACGATTGGGGTTGTGACCGACGCCTGTTTACTTGTTTGTCTGGCCGCGTCTGCGAGTCACGTGCTTCCTCTCTCATTCTCGTTTCTGCACACCACCCACTAGAGACCCAATGCCAAAAGTGAACAACCCTTCCATCCCCCTCAGCGGGATCTTTGCGGTTGCGAAGCCCAGCGGAATGACCTCTATGGCCGTAGTCGAGACCATCCAAAAGCTTTTTAGTGACTCGCCTTTATTCATGGAAGCCGAAGCGCTCGAGAAGCAAAGGTCGAAGACCGGGAAGAAGAAGATAAAGCTGCAGAGGAAGATAGGGCCCGTTAAGGTTGGGCAGGGTGGCACTTTGGATCCTTTAGCTGATGGCGTTCTTGGTATATTCATATCCCTCCCGTCGAGTTCTGATGCAGCTTATCCAACCGTGCTTCGAATCTAGTTGTTGGCGTCTCGAAAGGCACCAAATCCTTGGGGAGATTCTTGCACTGCACCAAGGTACAAAAGACTCACTCCACTTCGATCCGCGGTTGACCGCCCACTGCAGGAATATAAAACCATTGGGCTGCTGGGATGCGAGACGGACTCCTATGACAGTGAAGGTGCCCGAGTACGCACAGCTTCATGGAAGCACATCACTCGAGAGCAGGTTGAGGCCACCCTAGCTGGGTTTCGCGGACCAATAAAGCAGGTTCCTCCTATGTAAGAGACCCCATCTTTCTCCACCACGGAACGATCGGATTGACGAGGCTGCCTAACTTTAGATACTCTGCTCTAAAAATGGATGGGAAACCCTTATACGAGTACGCACGAGAGGGGAAACCTTTGCCAAGACCCATCGAAGCCCGCGACGCCAACGTTCTCGAACTGGAGCTTATCAACTGGCAGGAAGCTCGGTCGACCTCCAATCCTCCGGGCCACACATACGCTTGGCCGACAAAAGAACTCTCGGAAGCCGATAAGAGTCGCTACGCTGGAGTCAAAGACCTCATCGCCA